AAGAAATCGCACAAATTAAAGTCCTGTTGGTTAAGATAATATGCAGTAAACTTTTATATCTTTTTGTGAGTGGTAAGTTTCATCGACACAATGAGTACTGTTTATAAAATCGAGTTTCACTCGTCAATAAGAGACACACTTCTGTCAAATTCATATATCACAGACAAATAACATAAAATATAAAAGTTGCCAACTGTAACTGCAATAAAGAATGCTACACAATATTGCGGTTTAAAACCATTTGTTTTTTTTGCCTGATGTAAGAACGCAGGAAACATTTCATCTTCTAATTGTACTTGAGTATCCAAACAAAACTGTGCTTCCAACACCTCTTACAGCCCAAAATAAAAAAAATTGAAATCAGAATAGTGAGTTAGTCTGCGTAAAACTTTTGCTTACATCTAATGCAATAAAGAAATTTAGAAAAAAAATTTGGTCTCTACAGAGAAGTGATTAAATAGAAAGTTTTGTTTTTTCTAGGACTCAAAAGAGCTACTTTTTTCCAGCAGCAAGTTTCAGTCTTAATAATGCCAACGATCGTCTTTTCCGTCGAGAACAACAATCCGATGATTCGCAACATGATTGTTGGGAGCAGCAGGACGACTGACAACACGATGGTTGACAACATGTTTGCTGACAACAACAGCACGGTTCACTACAGCAACACGACGACTGGCATGGGCAAACCAATGGTGCACCACCGCGTCCAGCACAAACTGATGGTCCACCGCAGCTACTGCAGCAACAACATGGTTGTCCGGAACTGCTTGCACAGACAGCCAGTCTGTTCTTCACAGCGCAGGTTACCGGTGGAGACTGGATATGACAGTTAACCGGAGGGGACTGAACCGAAGTGCATACTGATGGAGGCATTACTGTACAACAGGAAGAAGTCGGCTGTATCATACAACATTTTGTCGTTCCTCCACAGCAACAAATCGGCTGTGGACAACAACAGCTGCATAGAGGCTGAGTGCAATAGCAACACTGAGGTTGGCAACAGCAGCAACACTGTGGTTGATAACAGCAGCACTGTGGTTGACAGCAACAACACTGAGGTGTTGGTGTACAAATTAGAGTTGCTTTACAATCGCAATTTATTGGTATGCAACAGCATCTGTAAAGCAGAATAACTCCAAATATAAGTAAGGGATTGGAAGGTTTTGTGACACTTTTTTACCATAAATTATGTAAAATATTTTGACAAGCAACCTCTTCGTTCGCCAGTTCGTTTCGTTAGCAACAGTTTTCTTACTCGCTGTAGTATTGCCATCTAACGCATTTGGGACGGATATCACGATAATCTTCTGTTTATCCCTTGCCGTAATTGGTGACCCCTGAAATAACTTTGGCTGTTAACCTGAGGTAACTGCAACTTGGTAACATTATTTAAAAGCTGTAATTTAGAACCTTTAGAGAAATCAAAAAGACTGTAGCTAAGAAGCAGACAATCGTTAATGAATACATTTCTATTGCCTTCAAGTTAATTTGAAGAAATTATTGATACATATGCTGATCTACGGCGTTATATACTAAACGGTAGCTGAAGAGGAAAACTGGTTGCATTAAAAGTTATTCGTTTTCCAATTCCAAAATCTTTATTGGTCAAACTTAGCAAATTAGTCGAAGGCTTAACTGGAATTGAAAAAGAGATAATCGTGAACTGGTCAGCTGCATCTGTCTGAATCTTCAGTTCTGGTTGCCGATGGTTAAGGAAGAACATTAGCCGAATAAACACTCAGAACAGTTCTGCCAGCATCACTACCGTTTGAAGCAAAATTTCGTTATATGAGGCTCAAACTGTAGTGTGCAGACAAAATTTTTTGGAAATGACTTGTATTTTTTTACAATCTTTAGCAATTTTTAGAAGACGTAGCTTTAATTGATTCACAAACTGTTTATTATTTATTTTTAGTTCGACTTCTTTTTAAGGCTTATATTTTTTATTAACTTTTATCTTTGAATTTGTTGCTGAATAAAAAACTGTATAGTACATAATTTTCTGTTTTTATCTCTATTTGTTCTGCCCAACAGTATAACAGCTATTGTTTCCGTTTACCGGAATATAATTCTACTACTACTCAAAATCTCAATGTTTTCATGCAACATGAAATACTTTCTTGTCACATTCATCAGGTGCAAATTAGGCAAATAGCAGCAATTAAAGCCATCAAACGTGCTCCATTTTATATTACTTCTGCTGCCTATTCTTTGATTTCAACTTCAAGCTACCACTCGACGCAATCTACGTAAATACGAAATGTGGTGAAACTGTCCAGCGAAATTTCTAGATTCTTGGCGCAGTCATATGCATAGCCCGGTTACCTGAAACACTGAAACACTAATTACCAGAACTTTTACAGTTTCTCAAAATTATTACAGTAATTTATTTGCAAGCAGTTTCTTAGAATTTAGTAATTTGCTAGCAGCTACGGTTCACCTACCTCAACAGAAAAATACTTTTCAATTTTTTAAACTTTTTTAAGTTGAATCTGATCGATTAAGATCTAAGCGTGATTTCCTAGACATAGCTTCTTATAAGACAAGGCGTATTCTAACTGTTATAATAAAGAGGCTTTCGTCTAACACCTTATTACTCCTTTTAGGTTCTTAACAGAAGTTGCCAGTTTGTTGGATTTTACCTACGTTGCGATCTTTACCTCGTCTTTTGAATACTGCTGTAAAGAAATATCGAAGCAAAGTGACCAACATCAATAGCTCAGAAAGTTTTGAGATAGAAACTTGTATGTGAGTTTATTTTAATTTCTAATTTTATTTTATAACAAAATTAAAAAATTTATGTTTTTGCTCAAACATATCCTTCATTTAACAGTTTCGAACTGGTCAACCACTTCTCTAACGGTATTGTTTTTAAGCTGCTATTTTGCAGTTTATGTAACACGTTTTCTCAAAATAAGTGAAAAGTAGTATGGCAAAGAAATCGGTAAAGATTAGTATTTTTTTAGCAGTTATTAAACTGTTTACTTTTAGCTGCCGTCTTCTAGCGAGATTGGTGGCACTGCCAATGTTTGTTTGTAAATCTCTTACTCAATTAAGCGCATTTACCCGAAAACAATAAATTGGTTTTATTACGCTATACAAAATTTTACTTTAAGACATTGATACCAATGGAAATTGAAATAAAGCTTTAGCTTTTGTTTATGTTCTTCAATTTAGACCTCTGTCTGACTGTAAAAGAAATTTGGAACAGTGTTATCGCATTATTACAGCTCCTGACTTGTACTTTGAAGCAGGTTTTACAGTCTTGGCAAGCTGTAAAATAGTTGCGACAGCTTCAAAAGTTTACGAATAATTTGTAATTAGTCTGTGGGCATCAGTCATTTGTGTTAAGTGCTGCAAACAATAGTTCAACATTTGATGTATATACTTTTCAGCATAATAAGAAAGTAAAAATTTATTGAAAATTAGAATAATCATATATAAAGGCTTAACAGAGCAGCAGGATAAATATAGAGGTGATTTGTCAATTTATTTAGTTAGCTGATTACTCGTCGTTCATGGTTCGGATGCTTTGCAAATTCTTAAACCGTGCATTAATGTCTTCATTTTCAACGAACTCTTTGTGCAAGACATAGATACAAAAGTAAAGTAGAAAGATCGTTGTTTTTGTACATATAATCAACAGAACTATGACTAATCAATGAAAAATAGAAGCGAAGATAACATTTTTCTATCAACATCAACCAAATTGAAACTGTTGATTTCATGTGTTTTGAGCTATGTTTTCTAAAGTTTAAACTTTGAGTTTATTGTAGAAAAACCACATATTGATAAAAATGTAAGTACATTCTCCAATTACTTTTCAATTTCTTCTTAACAATCAAAAAAAGAAAGTTGCGCACAAGATTTACCAAAATTTTGGTGCTAATGGTACTGGAATGTCGATATGTTAAGAAGATTTTTAATTTTTAGAGGTTTGAGAGATGATAGAAAGGAGACAAAAGATTCACGTAAGCAGTTTGAAAAATAGCAAAATTTTCAGTTTAAAGAAGTGCAATAAATTGAAAAGAGGTTAAGAAACATTAATCTAAATTGATTAGCCGTTACTGATAAGCCATATTTTCAGCTTCTTCTCCAATTCCACTGTACTGTTCCATTTAGACTTTTCAGTTATAAAATTTACTGTTGAGTGGATAAATCGTTTTTCATCATTTGAGAATATCTAAGAAAAATTGTTTAAAGTTTTACTGCTGTTTCGGTTAACATTCGGCAGTTGCTATTCGTAGTTTTTTCACTTAGCAAACACCGAGTAACACTGAAAACAAAAGTTTAGTATTCATTTGTTGAATGTAGCAGCATATTTGAAAGAGAAAGTTGTTTTATTGGTTCTTCATCACATTTTAATTTTTTTTCGCCAGTTTTATAGTATTTTTAAAGTATATTATGCTTTTCAGAAGTTTTACTTTATACGTATGAAGCTACATTCTGTATTCAAACAAGTGATATATTGGTTTAATTAACAGCTAACACAACTGTCTATCAGCTAATCATATTAACAGCTAATCGAACGCTGCAGGTCAAATGCGAACGACGACAGGTGTAAAAACTAATGTTTCAGCATTTTAAACAACAGAGTTTCACGTCAACAGGGCAAATTATCATTATTTGCCCCACATTCTGTTCGATGCAAAGAAGAGAAATAAAAATTTTGAAATGTGTTCAGAAGGCAGGTAGAGGATTGATAAAACAATTTAGAGAAAAGAAAAAACTACGGCTAAAAAATTTTTCAGGTTTATACCTCAAAAGACAGCATTTTTGGTATGTAATTATTTTAGATCATTGTCAGTTTTTAAACAAAAATCTCACTTAGAGTTTCCTTTGCACAGCATATTACATTGTTGGTGTATTTCTGTCGTTCATATACCAGACATCCATTTCGGCTTCAATTTTTACCCTTTTGAACAGTTATCTACCGTCTGTGCTCTGAAATGGCTTGCTAAATTTGGTCATCCCAAAAACGTTTTTCTTCCTGGGAATACTCTTTTAAATATCATAAACAGAATTTCTCAATTTCCGTTCTCGGCACTCAACCTGCATTTCTGAAGATTGTCTGCCTCAACGATAGTCTTGTCCCCTTGCTGTTACGTTTTTTAAAAACGTTTATTCAGGGACAGTTTTGAAAATGCTTCGGATGAAATAAAATTTAATAAAAGATTGCTTTGCAGCCAGCAAAAAAAAGATTACGGCAAAAAAAAGCAGTAATTTCGAAACTTTGCAAGGAACAAAAAACAGCAAAATGTAGAACAATCGATTGGATATCCAATGAAATAACTGATACTAAAAACTGTAGTGTATTAGTGGCATCTTTTGTGTTTTCTACAGCCAAATGCATTGGCACCACTTTGCTGCCTGAACTTATTAAAGAAAAATAACGAAAACCAACTGAATACTGAATACGAAAAACCACAGTTTCTAATCATTGGTGGTCATGGACTGCTAAAAAGACTTTCAATAATTAAAATTTTATTCGCAAAATGTCACTGCTTATTTGCGGTAAAATAAATTTATGGTTCTAATCTTTGCCATATTGAAGTTTGTCGAGTAAATGACTTTTTAAAAATACAATTTTGAACAACTGAGTAGCTATAGCGCGAAAAATATGATTTTGTATCAAAAACAGATCAGCTATGAATAATTAAAGGTATGTAAAATTTGCAGTAGTTTGAAACGTAACGTTTTCAGTGCCTAAAAGAAAAAATTTTTGAAATATCCTAACAGAAATAATAAACTTCATCACTGTTCTTCAAGCGTACATCGTATCAACTTGAGAAAACCTCATATTTAATCACTTCTATAGTACTTCACTAGTTCTGCTTCAAAACTTTTGATATCAAATTGCTAATGATCAGTTGAATAATCAGTAAACCTTCGCCTACTTAGTATTACCAAAAAAAATTTTTATTTTGCTAAACATTATTTTCTGGAATAATTTGTGTATAATTTATGAAAAAATACTAAAAACATCTAAGATTGGTTGTTCAAGGTCTAAAATCTTTGATCAAAAGATAAACTAAAAAATTTAGAGAAATTTCAAAATGTTGATAACTATTAAGTAAATAATGTTCAGTTGTTTATGGTTTGTTTTTGAAAAAGAAAAGTTTAATGTCAGTTGTTATTCTAGGAAAAATTAATGACATTAAATACCTTCAAACAGCAATACAGACAGACAAATTCTTGATATTTGGAAAACAATTTTTGCTGCTGCATTTCGCAATATTTTTCACTGATAAGGGTGAATAAAATTTTTGCTTATCAAAATAGTCTCAATTTAACAGACAACTGGTTGTTCACTGTATCAAAAATTGCATCTTCAAAACAGTGATTATCTTACTGAAATTTTGCAAATTTAGAAAAACATTGCCTAAATTAAACAAGCTTTTTTTTCGTGAACTAACATTGCCTCAAAGCCCCAATTTGTACAGTTTATTTATTACAGACTAAGCGAAAAAAACAAGGATGGAGAAAACCGAATTTCAACACAGCAAATAAAGAGCTGCACAGAAAAATCTGTGTGCAAAAACGTTAAGAAAAAAAAAGAATCAACAAATAGTAAAGACTTATTTTAAAAAATTTTGTTATCACATACGTAATAGATAAGATGTTTATAATGCTTAAAATTTTATCAAAATAAGAAATTTGCTTATCGGCTGGATACAAATAGTTTTTGCTATTTAAAGGCACGTGTTTTGAAAATCAGTGTTAGTGTTTTGGCGACAAGTAGATTCTGAGGTGCTTTTTTCAGTTATTGTAGCTTCTTAAGCTTAAATGTTGACTGTACCTGACCACTGTTCTAAAAGATAATTTACTTTAAAATTTGGCTGTTGCTGAAATGTCACAAGCAAGGCTAAAATTTCTAGTCTTTTTTCAGTTATGTAGTTTTGACCGAGTAGTTGAATTTTTACTAAACGAATAGTGGCAACAAAATTTGTATAATATTATGTTTTGGTATTAAATAGCACAAATTCAGAGCAGATATATGTAAATATTTTGTAAAACAACAGTCTTTAGATTTAGTTATTCGTTAGTGTATCAAGATCAGTACTCAAAAGTCTTTTTTCCTCAACCATAGGAACTGACGAGCTAAGCTGTAATGTTGAAAACCAAAATTTTTTGTTTAAACTACAGCAGTGTTGCTTTTGTTTTGATAATCTCTGAAGGTTTTTTGCTGCAAACAGAACTGTCACATAAAAATTCAATGGCTAAGTGTAGTAGCAGTTTATGTTCTTGAAAAATTAATTTTATTGTCAGCTGTCAGCAACTGATGTACTTTGTTGCATTCTTTTGTTAATGCCTATAAATATCCAGCATTGACCCTAAGATCATTTTAGTGATCATTTTAGTGTTTTTTTTTCATCTGTGGTTGATGTTGCAGTTGGTTAAAACTGTTTCTGTGTTCCAAAATTTTGCTTAGTTTTAATGCTTTCTTTTTCTTAACACTCTACAGTTGATAGTTAGCTCTTTTCTACTTTCTCTTTCGATCAAAACTTTATTCTTTGTTGTTATTATATTTCAACCTTTTAACGTATATGATAAATCTGTTTATATAAGTAAATTGCATTTGGCTTATACTACGGCAAACTGGTTTTTTCAATTTTTTTAACCTAACTTTGACCGATGACTGTGTTTCAGCAGAAAACAGCATGTTCTTCAAACTCTTGGTTGTCTGCATTGCTTTTGCAGCTGTTTATGCCGAACATGGATTCGACGTCTCGCGTATCCCAGAAGACGTTCGAGGTCTGTTACAGATTAGATCATAATAAAGTTTAAAAAGTGGCACTGTAACACATAATTAACTGTTATTTTAAAGTTAAATGTTATGAAAGAAATGTGGTTGCTTAAATTATTAGAAAAAAGTTTCTTACAAGAAAGGATTCTTTAATCATTTACTTTTAGCACTGATACCAAAAGAAGTCAAAGATTTCTACAAGGGATTAACAGATGATGATAGGAAAGTAATAAAAGAAATCAGAAAAATGTACTGGTCTTTCCCCCACGATGAAAAATCTCTGGAAGTTCTAAAAGAAAAAAGCCCATCGCTTCACGAGAAAGTAATTGGCTTCCGTCAAATGGTTGCTTCAAAAATTGAAAGTCTCAACGAAGAAGCTAAAGCTTTTGCTAAAGAGGTACAAGACTGTTTTAAACCTATACTCCTGTACGTTATTCATTCTTAATACAATTACGTATTCTTGACCTAGCAAACAAAAGATTCAAAGCTGGACACACATTTCTGTAATTGCAACTCCACTAAAACGGCTTCTAAAATTGTCTACAATATCGTTCTTCCGAACAGATGTACTACCAAAACTACATCATAGCAGCGCTTTATACGATATATTACTGTTCTAGGCAATTGAAAGCTTAAAGCAGCTGTACCCCAAAGAAGTTGGTGAACCCTTCGACAAGAAAAAGCTCGGAGAAACACTGAAGGCTATTCATGAAAAGAAAGATGCACTTTCAGAGGAGGCACAAAAGAGTCTTGAAGAACAATTCCCTCAAACCACAAAATTCTTCAAAAGTAATTTTTGGCTTTTTTCTAGTCAGAATTATCAGATTCTGATGTTTAAATGTTACAGTCTATTGAAGCAGTTTTTTTTGTCTTACCTAAACTAATGTGCTAATGCTTTCAGACGAGAAGGTTTGCAATTTCCTCAAAGCTTACTTCAAAGGCGCTCATTAAGGCAGCCATTTCCTAAACTGCAGTTGTTGTTAACAAATGTGAAGCTGATGGTAGAGAAAAATGATGAGCAGTATGTTTAGTGATCAGCCTAAAAATAAACTTTTTTTCTGTACTTTCAATTGTTTAACATTGTATCAGCTTCAGTCAATAACCGACCAGTAGAATAAACTTTTTAAAACTGAACTAAAGCGTTTGCAAAAAAAAAAAAAAAAAAAAAAA